TGCCTCCTGGGTTCAAGCAGTTCTTCCTGCCTCAGCCTCCAGAGTAGCTGAGATTATAGGCGCCCGCCACCAGGCCCGGCTAATTTTTGTATTTCTTAGTAGAGAGGGGATTTCGCCATGTTGGCCAGGCTGGTCTTGAATTGCTGATCTCAGATGATCTGCCTGCCTCGGCCTCCCAAAGTGATGAGATTACAGGCATGAACCACCACATCCAGGTGTCTTTTGATCGTTTTTTAAAGTGGATATACTATTGATAGCCTTCTTAAAATAGCACCCCCCTGTGGACTCACAGAGCAAAAGAGCATGTTTCTTTTTTGAGGAACCTAGCTAGTATTCTTTTTTCCTACCTTTGTTTGCTTGCTTTTTCAAAATTCCCTTAAAGAAAACTCAAAAGACTAAAGCAGAATGAAGTTCAACTTTGATATTGGTTTTGATTGACTGCATAACTAAAAAATGTCTACCATAATCTCTGAGACTTAAATATTTACTGAATGAACGAATTCACAAGTGATCATAAAAAATTAACCAAGTTTCAACGAAAAGGTAAAATTAAACAAATAAACATGAAATTAATGATTTACCAGTTTCTTCTTGCAATGTTCATTTTCACTCTGCACAGAAGGTGGAGCCAAAGACATATTTATCCACTGGCTGGAATTCTTTCCCATTCAACGAAACAAAGCAAAACAAATTCTTCTCTTTACAAATACCTTTTTGTGCAGTTTGATTTACAGTAAGATTCACTTGGAGATAAATGTGGGCTACAAATATGAGTTGACATTTTACACAGTTCAAATCAATCTTTGATTCTTAAACGTCTTTCAAGATGATAGAATGCTAAGTAAACGGGAAAGAAGTTTTCAGTTAAGTTGAGTACTTCAGGATTATGAAGCAAATTGACAGACCCCAGAAACTTATCTTTTGAAAAAGGATGCCAGCACAAGTTGGTAATATGATGAGAAATCTTTACTGGTCTGAAAGAAATGTAATTGACCAACAGTCACATTAAGAACGGATTTTCTGGCTAATTTTACCAATTTGAGTAGAGCATTTCTAAACTTGTAAACTAATGAGCTCCAAATTAACTTTTACTTCTTTCTTGTTTTCAGTAAGTATTAGTGAAAATGGAAATTTGGTGCTTTGAAAGGATTATTGTGATGCTAAGGAAAGGAAACCTGTTAATTAATGCCATCTTATCTCATTACAAAATCAACCTAGACCCTCTTAGTCTCAGATAGTCTTTCCATTCTTCTACAATGCCTTGAATTGCCCCTGAGGTATTGCAAATTTTCCCATTCTTCTTCACTCACTTTCATCTCGGCCAGCTGATAACCTCACCTACTTGGAGAAAATACCTTCAAACCCTAGTTTCATGAGGCCTATTCTCAGGAAGCTACCACACCCAGCTAATTTTTGTATTTTTAGTAGAGATGGGGTTTCACCATGTTGCCCGGGCTGGTCTTGGACGCCTGACCTCAGGTGATCCGCCCGCCTTGGCCATCCAAAGTGCTGGGATTACAGGCATGAGTCACTGCGTCCAGCCATAACAATTTTAAAGTGAACTCTACAGCTCCTGTTTTAAATTGTCAGTCAGTTGTCTTTATCGAGATTTTTTAGTTCTTCATATCAAAATATTTCAAACAAATCATTGTATCTCTTTCAGCAGCTCAGCACCTCCCCCGGTTTCCTTTTTTTGTGTGTAGGTCATATTTTCCCAATCAAAACTCCAAAAATCAGTTTCTACAGCCTTCTCTCCCTTCTCCTCCCACTCATCCGTCATCAAGTTCCGATAATTCTACCTTCCTTTCTTACTGTTAGTATAGCATTTCAAGTTCCTATAGCTCACTGCTCTCCCATTACAAATACTCTTCTTACAGGTCTCTAATCCGGAGCCACCAATTATTTTGAATGTTTATGCTATTGAATGAGGTGAAATTAATCCATCAGAGTTTGTGTGAGATAGGCATTTAAAGACCTTAAAAATCACTCCATTAATTTCTTAAAATTTCAGAAATTCCTATTTTGAATTGGGTAAAAACCCAAAAAAGGAATTGGTTCTCATATTAAGAAATATTTCTCATAATTCTGAAAAATAACTTACCTTCCATTGTGACAATAATGTGCATTTTTCAAAGTATATAGCTACCTGGATAAAACAGAATCAAAGGCATGGCAGGTGATTCGGCCTAAAGAATCCCTGCAGAAGACAGAAACTGTAGTTAACTGTTTCTACTTTTTCAAAGAGCAGTGTTGTCTGACTACCAAATTAGGCTGCATCCATTTCTTCTACATAGACAAGGTCTGACAATCAGAGGAGATACAGTTCTGGGAAGTCAGTGTTTATATTAAAGACATGGCATTGACATTTCTGAGACTATGAGAAAAACACCTTAAAAAAAAAAAAACTATTCCACAATTTTTGCAAAACATTCCAATGGCGACAAGCTTCAAGGTCAGGTAAATGAGATACTTTTGTACAACTGTATTATTGACAAAAATATAACTCACTGACACTGCTAAAGTATGAGTAATAATAGGGATTGCTACTTGTCATTTAGAGACCCCGTTAGTTGTCCAGCAGAGAAAACCATGGGATTAGGCTGGATGTTGTGGCTCATGCCTGTAATCCAAGCACTTTGGAGGCCAAGGCAGGTGGATCACCTGAGGTTGGGAGTTCAAGACCAGCCTGACCACATTGGTGAAACTCCGTCTTAAAAAAAAAAAAAGAAAAGAAGAAAACTATGGGATCTTTCACAAAACCTAGTTTCCCTTGTGCGTGATTACTCATAGCATTGCATTTCAGTGCCACTAACCCAAAAGAAGAGAAGGCTCCACAGAATGTCTTATCAATTATATTTTTGATGAAATCATGTTGAGATCTTGTATCAGTGATCACGGAAAAATAATTTTAGAAAGAAAAGACATAATACGTTCATATATTAAGAGAAGTAACTAATCAGTGGCTTGGCTTATCCTAAGAGTAATCCCTTTGGCTTAGAAAATGGTTCAAGTGATATCCATGAATAATTTAACTTGCTAAAAAGAAGTTCTTTAATTATATTTCCAATTAGTCACATAGGTAATAATTTAAAAAGAAAAAGTAGCAGAATACTTGAACTTCAATATCCATCTATACGACCTAACCAAACATAAGAAAAAGAAACACAATATTGTTTTGCTCTAAAATCCCTATTATAAAATAGTCAATGACAACTTTTCTTTCACGACACTTAATCTGAATTAGCATCATGGTAATTTTTTTATAATTGTACTTGAAAAATAATTTTACAAAATAAATTGTTATGTAAATGAAGCATAGAGTTTTTAATAAAGAAGAAATGCATTTTTATGATAAAAAGAATAAATCATTTTCATGAATGTGTTCTAAGTCCAGTGAAATAATTTTTAATTAAGGCAAAACAATAGATTCATAAATACAAGACCAAAACAATATTTATAGGTTGCTGAATCTGAAGACTCAAAAGCCAGATTAGAATTTCTACTTCCAGAAGATTGTTTTTGCCCTTCCTTAAAGAAAAATATACTCTTGGAAATAGGACAGCCAAGTGAAAGCAAAATTGTTCCTTAAAACTGCAACACTTCAAAAGATGTTGTATTAGTCATTTCAGTGAAAGTTTAATTAGGGAACGGTGTCTACCAGAATATATTTGCCATCCTTCTTTTTTCTGGTATTTCCACTAGTGAGAAAAGTGTTAGGAATATGAAGGCCGGGTGAGTTTGCTTTCCTTCCAGAGAATATGGCCAAGAGATTTCCTGCCCAACCTCAGGAGCATCACTGAAGCCTGTTTACAAGGAATTGTCCTACCACAACACTCTGCTATGGCATCTGGGAAGCCCTCAAAGCAGCTGCCTGCTTTAAGAATGAGGCCACATGACTCAGGTCATTATAAACCCTAAAGCAGAGCCCTGAAGAGGGAGAGCATTGAAAGGGGCAGGGAAGTACAGAAAGATGATCTGCCCACTCTACTGTCACTGGGCAGAAAACTCTAGTGGTCTTGAGAGGGGGAAGTGATCTTAAGGAGGACTGAATAGTTTGGGAACCTACTTAAGGCAACCATAGTCTGTTTTGTTGTTGTTGTTGTTTGTTTGTTTGTTTTAATAAAGATGGGGTTTCACCATGATGGCCAGGCTGATCTTGAACTCCTGACCTCAGGTGATCCACCCACCTCGGCCTCCCAAAATGCTAGGATTACGGGTGTGAGACACAGCGCCTGGCCGATAGCCTGTGTTTTTAAAATCCTGACATTTCACTACAGATTTGGGTTTTAGTGTTTTTGAATAAAGAGGGCTGAAATATAAAATCTTAGTTTTCTGGAGACAGGGTAGAGGTCAGATATCAAGATTTCATAGGCAAACAAAACATGCTACAGATGTAAAACACACACACACATACACATGCACACACAGCCTTTTGCTAAACTGAAAGAAAGAGTAAAAATTCAAAGCAATGAAGGGGTAGAAAGATGGATTGCGTATGGACTTTTCTTCATTTATGTCGATTTTTGAAACGTCTCTCTCCCTTCCCCACCATTTCCTTTGTTAATTGTCCTCATTTAAATTTAAAGGAAGGGAATTAGATCATCAAACAGGTCACTCACACCTACCTGTAACTTCACACACCTTGGTCAGTGTGAAACAAGCTTGAACTGGTTATATGCTTCCCCGCCATTTTTATTTATATTGTAAACTACGTTAAAATTTTTAGACAATGTTATAATAAAAATATACACTATTTTTCCCCATCATCCCTGGTCTTTTGGTGAAGCAAACACAATAATCAATGATTCTTATGTGTGAGGAGCAACTCCAAGTGGAGGCATTCATGTCCCTAATGCTATTTGATTTTTTCTCATCAGCAAATTTAAACTACGACTTTATCCTGATCCCGCTCCTGCTCTTCGCCTCTTCTCCCCCCACCCTTTTACATTCACCAGCCTCCTCCCCACCTCCTCCCCGCCTTTCCCTTTGCCCTCCCCTTTCTTCTAGCCCCTCCTCCCAGTTGAGTCAGTGGCTTGAAACTTTTAAAAGCTCTGTGCTCCAAGTTACAAAAAAGCTTTTACGAGGTATCAGCACTTTTCTTTCATTAGGGGGAAGGCGTGAGGAAAGTACCAAACAGCAGCAGAGTTTTAAACTTTAAATAGACAGGTCTCAGTGCCTGAACTGGCCTTTTCCTTTTACTTCATCCTCCAAGGAGTTCAATCACTTGGCGTGGCTTCACTTCTTTTAAGCAAAAGAGTAAGTTTAAAAAAAATGAGAACACTTTAGTAGTTTCTTTTTCTACAAGTAAAACTTTTCTAAAGTTTTAAAATGTGTTAAATGTAGCTTTGAATTATGATACTGTAAATGGATTGATGGATTTGAAGGTGTTTCTATAGTTTTAAAGTTAAAATTTGTTGGACCGAATGTATATTTTGACTGTTATAAAAGTTTCTATTAATATTGCAACAGGTAAAAGTTTCAAACCTTTAAGATTAGAATAAAGGACTAGTTTACTGGATGTCTGGTTCTTCGTTTTAGAGAATAATTTTTTTTTTTTTATAATTAGTAATAGTCTAGGTGCCATCATTTGTTGGGGTGGGGGGGGCGGTTAGGAGACGGGGTTGGGGGATTTGACTGATTACATTGCAAAAATCCAAGTGCAAATTTGCTTAGCGTGCTTCCTATAGTATTCGACACTTAATAAAGTGCTTTTTTCATATGGAAATATTGATTGATGTTCTATAGCTTTGCAAAGCCAACTTCTTTTGTGACAAAGTGCTTTGTTAAAACACCGTGGTTACTTGACTTCCACGTGGTTCCTCCCTAGAATTTTCCCCATTCAACAAAAACGTATCAAATTCAAGAGTATTAATATTACTTTTGAAAATCAACAGTAAATTGTTACTTTGTGTTAGCAACCACTATGGAAAGATTCGAGACCCTCAGGAGACACTGCTTTTACTCGACCACGATGTCAGTTTAGGAGATGAAATCTCTTCAATGGGTGGTGGTTAGTTACAGAGCATTAGAGGAGATCAGACGTTTACAAAAGAGTGTATGTCAGGGTGTTTTCCAAAACCGTCCCCTAAAACGGGAGCTCCTAGAAAGAGCAGGAAAAAAACTTTCTTTAAACGGCGCTTTAGAGGGAGCTACCCACCCCCAGCCCCCGCCGTCCCCGCACCTTCCCTCTGCCCGAAGCTGCAACAGAATTCAGAACTCCGGGGCAGTTCTTTGGAGTTGGAGCTCCCAGGGCAAAGATAACGCGAAGGTGTTGCTTTAAAGGGTTCAATATTTAAAATACGTTTATTGGTAAGACACATTTTGTTCATCAGAAATGCAACCATGCATTTTTGTGCCCGGTAAGGATTTTTTGTTCTGTGTAAATTTACAGACTAAAATAATCAGTTTAGATTCTTGACGTGACCCTGCAGTGGAAGTGTCTGCACCCGTGAATGCTGAAAAACAAATAAAAATGAAGGCTTTGCGGAGGCCCGAGGCCGTGGGCCGGACGGGCGTGGGGCGCCTCCTGCCATCTTAGCGTCTGCCAGGCTCCCTCCCGCGCCTTCCTGCCCGAACCAGCGCGGTTTGGGGACGTTTCCCTTCAATCGTCACTAGTCAAACCGAGCGCAGGTCCGAGTTCCGTCACTGCGAAGGAACCCGGGGCGCGGGGTGGGAGGGATGGGAGGAGAGATGGGCTGGGTGCCAAATGGTAGAAGAGCAAATGGTTGATTTAATTAAAGTTGTCAATCTAATTTCCCATCCCTCTCACCCCAGTCGCTTTTTTTTTTTTTTTTTTTTTTTTTTTTTTTTTTTTTTTTTTTTTTTTTGAAACTTGCAGAATCCCACTATCTCCCCGTTGGTAAAACCTGAGTACCTTGGGAATTATCGTGCTTAAATTGCACTTGCAACTCTCCGGGTCCTGGAAGTTCCTGAAACTTCCCGAGAACGAGGCGGGGCGGCGCGGGGGGAAGAGGCGGGGAGGAGAGACCCTCGGGGAGCTGATGACGCGTCCGGGACGAGTCAGCCGGTTTCCCAGACGCACGCCTCGCGCTCGGAGCTGCGCAGCGCCCACCCTGCCCCTTTCGTGACCCGGGCGACTTTGGCTGGGCGTTTCTGATAATGCCCATCAGTAAGCTCTCCTTGCGCCCAAGAGGCGTGCTTCTCTTTCTCTCCGGGTACAAAGTGGGGGTGGGAAGGGGAGAGGTACACGGTGTTGTAGAAAGAAGCGTGGCTTTACTTAGACTGGGTTTAATTTCTTTTGCGTCCCAGACCCAGTTAGTAATGACCAGAAGGATACTGAATCTCGCCCTCCGAAAATCGGGCGCATTTGACCTCGGTGAAAAGTGCCCCTGTGAGGAAGCCCAATGTTTACTTTTGTGCCAGGGTCACTGGAAATTAAAGCGTCTAGTAATGCAGAAATTTCATTAACCGCCCCCTCCCACACACACACACAACAATGAAATAAGCCAGTTAGAAAACACCTTTGGGAGAAGAGTAATTACTTCTGGGTAGGCCGAATTGACTGGAAATTATACCAAGCAGAGGCAGTACATTCCGTCCTGGCGATGTGTTGATTCTATATTATTAGCACATGTTCCTCCAGTGTGGGGGTGCTTTGTACTCCCCAAAGTCAGCTTAGACTGGTTACCTGTCCTCTGCTGGGAAAATGCAGTGCTAGTGCTTTGCTCCTACTTTCTTCACTGTTTAAACATGCTCCACATTTTTCTAATGCCTTCTGAGGGCTCTCACCCCAGCCACTGAGTTCCTCACCTTTGGGGATTGTGATACCTACAGTGCTCTCACCCTGCTGGGGAAACGTGGTTCCAAAGATGCTCCGCAGGAGGCAGATAAAAGGCTGTGCTTGCAGATACTGAAGGTTGCTTTGTTACTTAGATGGTTCAAATTCCTGCATCAAGGAGGGAAAACACTGGGTGCATTCTTTCTTTTCTTTTCTCTAATTCCAGGGGTGTAACTTGGTTTGAGCCTTTGTATATGATGCCCGCAGGGAAGGGAATGTTAGGACAGTCACCAGTGATTAGTATCTTTTACTCCACCTTTCCGGTTGTTCTAACTAATCTTCAAGATTCTCAGTTATTTGAAGAGATATGTGGAAGCTTATCCACACACATCAGTTCAGCTCTGGAGAGAATAAGCAATTATCTAATGTTTATTATGAATGTAATATTCAATATGGATAATTCAAGTTTTTTAAAATCCCCAGAGCATCTCTTTCATGGGAGATTAATATACATATTTCTGAATTCTTAGCATAACTGCCTGAATTCTCCATCTTAAAGTCACCACTTAACTATGTGTGTACAGATTGTCTTTTACCAAAATTCAAACTGTGGTTAGCTCTGTTTTTGTGTGTGTATCAGTGGCTTATAAAATTTCGTAAATTTCGCATTTTAGTTTCCCTAGGCTTTTAAAAGAGTATTTTAAGAAAAATGTGTGTTTGTCATCAGCCGGGCATGATGGCTCTTGCCTGTAATCCTGGCCCTTTGAGAGGGTGGGGGGAGGATCGTTTGAGGCCAGCAGTTGAAAACCAGCCTGGGCAACATAGCAAGTTTTCATCTTTATAAAATTTTTTTCTTAAAAGAAAATGTGTGTTGGTCAATTATTTTTTAGTCCCTGTTTTGCTAAAGAAAAAAATGAAAATTTTAAAAACAAATGAACTATATCTAAAGATCTTTTAAAGAATGCCAAAAAGTTTCACATGCATGAGTTAACTTATTCAATGATCATTAAAAAAAAAAATCGACTGTCTTAATCAGTACACTTATGAGGACCCTAAGGGTGTCTTTATATGATTATAAAATAGCAAGGCTATTCAAAAAATATAGTCAATTTGGAGGTGGAAGTAAGAGTAGGGTCAGAGGAAACACCAACGACTGGTAGAAGTGTATTAAGTTACACTGGGATTGAAGAACACGGCTTTTAGCCTGCAGCTTCTGACTTAGGGTTTTTCGTCTAGCAGTCCTAAATTGATCTTGAGAAACTTGTGTAGGGGGAGAGTTGAGTAATAGCTGTTGAACTAGAGAGGGGACTGTCTTTTATGGGATGCATCGTCCTCTCTTTGGATGGAGTTCCTCACACCTCAATCCCCATCTCATCTCATTTTGTGGATGCTAATGTAAGTTGTGTACGTGATGAGGAGGGGTAATAGCAGGGAAAGAAAGGCTTGTTGGAATTTTTTTTTTTTTGTCCTGCCCTATGCCCCCAAAATAAGCAGTTCACAACATCAAATACCTACACAAATGTGCAATTCTTTATAAAGGAACCTGGGGGCAATCAGAGAACCATGAGACAGCATTTTAAATGTTTATATACAGTAAGTTTGATACACTACAATTAGCCCATCAAAGTATAAATAAGGAAGTAAAGGCTTGGTATTATCTGATGAACTAGGCATCTTTTCCATGGTACTTGAGTCTAGTCACTTTACTGTCTGCGTAGACTCAGACTGCAAAGATGTTATATTAACCAGGGTTAATATGAGCCGCTGTTCTTACCCTTCAGAGCCCCAGCCTTCCCCAATATTTATCATTCTTCAAATCTATACAACTTGGAACAGGCGGCTATTTCTTCTTGAAAGGGTGTCCTTGGCTACAATAAAATTGTGTGGCGCAGTCAGAGTTAGAATATCACAGAACTAGGGGACAACCACACAGTTGTGTTTTTTTTTTTTTGTTTTTTTGTTTGTTTGTTTGTTTTGTGTTTTAAATCTTAACCTACAACAACCTAACAGTGATACCTGATGCAGTGCTACAAGAATGTAACCCTCATTAGGATCTCATCTAACAAATTCAGGAAGCTCTTTGTTAAAGAGCCTTTTTCCTTGTTCTTTCTTTCTTTTTTTTTTTCTAAGCCAGTCAAATTTAGCAGTGGGGGGTTGTAAAGAGCCTTTTTTTCTTAATTCAGCTCTATTGCCTGCCCAGGAACCATTTGAAGCATGTTGTTTCAACAAACAGTTCTCTGTTTCAGGAATTGTCACTTGAAAATTTAACAGTATGAGAATGAGATGACAATACTTTTTTACTGTAAAGTCCCCTTTTTAATTAATTTGAAACTTTAGAAATTTGAGATCTATAACTACAATTAAAAGAATCCCAAAGAGATGAAAACAAAGAAACTGGTGGGGTTTTTTGTTCTTGTTGTTTTTGCACAGTATCTGTTTTTTGTGTGTGTGTGCGCATGTTTGTTTTTTTTTTCTTTTTGAGATGGAGTCTCTGTCGCCGAGGCTGGAGCGCAGTGGT